TCATCTCTCTATGCTTTGCAATAGGATGTGTACTAATGGTCAGATTTTTTTTTTTTTTTTTTTCCTGAGACGGAGTCTCACTCTGTTGCCCAGGCTGGAGTGCAATGGCATGATCTGGGCTCACTGCAACCTCTGCCTCCCCGGGTTCCTGCCTCAGCCCCCTAAGTAGCTGGTACTATAGATGTGCGCCACTACACCTACTTTTTTTGTATTTTTAGTAGAGACAGGGTTTCACCATGTCGCCCAGGCTAGTCTTGAACTCCTGACCTCAAGTGATCCACTTGCCCTGGCCTCCCAACGTGCTGGGATTACAGGCATGAGCCACTGCACCTGGCCTGGTCAGATTTTTTTCCACTGGACTTTACAAATGTACAGAGAGGAACAGATAAAGTGCTGGGATTAGAGGCATGAACCACCACACTAGGCCTGGTCAGATTTCTTCCATTGGACTTTACAGATGTATAGAGAGGAACAGATGTCTTTACCTTTTTTTTTTTTTTTCAAACAGTATCATGTTGTTTCCTTCCCCCTCAACTTGTTCCATGAGTTTTGTGCATGATGTTCCATAAAGTAAACTCACAGATTGCTTTTACATCTAAAAGTTCTGCTTTCTCTTTTAGCCGGATGCGCAGTGATGGTTTTGATGAAGAAAGTCAAAGAGACTATTGGAGGCCAAAGAATGAAATTTCTGGGACACTGGAAGATGATTTTCTTAAGGCAAAATCCTGGAACAAGAAGTTATATGATTATGAAGCTAACATGCCAGACAGGTTTGTGATTAATTCCTGTGAGCATTAATATTTGGCCTGAGAATGTGTACTTATCAAAATTAATTGTCCCCACAAAAAACTTGTGTACAAATGTTCATACCAGCATTATTAATAATGGCCCCAAAAAATAATGGCCAAGTAATCCAAATGTCTGTCAACTGATGAATGGGTAAACAAAATGTGATACATCCATACAATGGAATATTATTTGGCAGTAAAAGAAATGAAGTATAGATATATGTTACAACATGGATAAACCTTGAAAACATTATGCTAAGTGAGAAGAAAGAAGCCAAGTCACAAAAGACCATATATTGTATGATTCTATGTATGTACTATGTCCACACATAACTGTATGAATCCATTTATGTGGTAGGCAATTCCATAGAGACAGAAGGTAGATTAGTGATTGCCCTGGGCTGGAGGCACTACACTTTGAATTCTATGATATGTGAATTTATACTTCAATAAAGTTGTTATTTAAAAAAAAAATAGGCCAGGTGCAGTGGCTCATGCCTGTAATCCCAGTACTTGGGAGGCCGAGGCGGGTGGATCACAAGGTCAAGAGATTGAGACCATCCTGGCCACCATGGTGAAACCCCGTCTCTACTAAAAATACAAAAATTAGCTGTGCGTGGTGGCATGAGCCTGTAGTCCCAGCTACTTGGGAGGCTGAGGCAGGGGAATCGCTTGAAACCAGGAGGTGGAGGTTGCAGTTGAGCCGAGATTGCACCACTGCACTCCAGCCTGGCAACTGAGTGAGACTCTGTCTCAAGAAAAAAAGAAAAAAAAATAAAAAATAAGGCTGGGTGCGGTGGCTCATGCCTGTAATCCCAGCACTTTGGGAAGCGGGCGGATCATGAGGTCAGGAGTTCGAGACCAGCCTTGGCAACATAATGAAACCCCATCTCTACTAAAAATATAAAAATTAGCTGGGCATGATGGCACGTGCCTGTAGTCCCAGCCACTCGGGAGGCTGAGGCAGGAGAATCACTTGAAACCCGGAGGCAGGGGTTGCAGTGAGCTGAGATCGTGCCACTGCACTCCAGCCTGGGCAACAGAGCGAGACTCCATCTCAAAAAAAAAAAATTGTCCCCATGTAGACAGCATGATATTATGAAGTGTTTTTATAAAAGTGCTTCACAGCTAAAGAGCAGAGTGTAAGGTTCGTTAGTGTTTCTTAAAACAATGGCAAGTTCTCTTACAAATGGACCAAAGAATCTTCTGTGTCTGAAATGATAGTGCACAATACAGGAAATGTAGCTGTTACTGAGCTGTAATGTGGGCTTGGTTCTACCATATCTCTATTTTGTGTTTATGTTTGTGTATGCATGTACTCCAAAGTCTTTCTAATTTTAATTTCCAAAAACGTATGCATTGCTTTAACAATACATATGGTGTGTCATATTACAGATGGGGTCACAGTGGTTATAAAGAGTTATACCCTGAAGAATTTGAAACAGACAGGTAAGGAAAATGGACTTACCAAAAGAAACTAAGATGGTACAAAATCTGTATTATAAACTGATTTTCTAACTTTTACAAAGAATATACTTGCCATTGAAAATATAGCTAGAGAAACAATAGTTGATTTAGTCAGGAGATGATCCCTGTTTTGCCATTCTGTGGTTGATGTCTGGCATGTCTGTAAGCATTTTGGTTTTTATATATAGTACTCCATACAGTAACCCAGTATGGCAGCTTAGAATTTTTACCTTCATTTTAAAGAAGAGGAAACAAAAACTCAATGAGAATATTAAAGTGTTAAAGTATATGTTAAAGTGCTGATTTAAAATTCAGATGTTAATCTCAATTTTTTATCTAGAATGCAAAATATTAAAATAATATGCTTTTTTTTTTACATAAAAGCTTCTATTTTTTACTTTTTTATTAGTAGTGATCAGCAAGATATTACCAACGGGAAAAAAACATCTCCCCAGGTAAAGTCATCTACCCATGAATCCCACAAACACAAGAAGTCAAAGAAATCCCACAAAAAAAAGCAGAAAAAAAGGTCACACAAAAAACAGAAGAAAAGCAAAAAGGAAGCCACAGATATAACAGCAGATTCCTCGAGTGAGTTCTCAGAAGAAACGGGGGCTTCTGGTACAAGGAAAAGGAAACAACCACATAAGCGCAAGAAAAAATCCAGGAAAAAGTCTCTCAAAAAACCTGCTTTATTCTTAGAGGCAGAAGGTAACACTTCACATTCAGATGATTCAGCATCCAGCAGTTCTGAGGAAAGTGAGGAAAGAGACACTAAGAAAACCAAAAGGAAAAAGAGAGAGAAAAAAGTCCATACGCCGGTAGCCAACAGTGAAATACAGGAGAGGACAAACAGACGCACAAATTGGAAAGTAGCTACAGATGAAAGGTCTGCTGAGAGCTCAGAGGATGACTAAATGGGAAACACTTTTGTTTTCCACATGACTGTGGATATTTACAGTTCTTACTTCTTGTGGTTTTGCCAGTGACTCTTGTTCAGCACAGGGCCTGAGGTCAGAGCTGTCTTGTGCCATCCTTATGTTCTGACAGACTTCTTGTCTTCTATTTTGGCGTTAAGCTTGATCCCCTTTTCTTGTTAAAGGGGAATCTGGTATTTTGTTATGAAGGTTTCTTGAAGAGATTATTTTTTTTTGCATTAATTACGTTTAGTGTAGAGTGCATATACAGCAGATTAAAGGACCCAGAAAGCTGGGTCCAATAGTGACCCGGGTACACCAATCAGAATATTGAATTTGGGGAAGTCAAGGGCTGGGATCAAGAGGTGGATTGGAACTAATGCCGTGTAGGATGGTATGACAAGGCAACACTATATTGCTCTCTGTTTATATAGCAGGTGTCACAACTGACTTGTCTTTAGCCTTGGTGCTTTGATCCTTCTGTATTTTGACCCCACAAGTGTGGTCCAGTTTACTTAATCAGGAAATGGGCCGAAGAACAAACCTTTTCCCTTCATGATAACATCCACAGACAACTTACTAGAAGGGACTAGAGTTTTCACAAATTTCCCTGCTGGACGGGGCAGATAGCTATACTTAGTATACGCCTAAACATGGTTAATTGGATAGTAAATGGTTTTCTAGTTCCATTGCTGTATATTTGCCTAAATGGACTTGTGTTCAAATTATTTCTTCAGTTGTCATAGATAACCCTCTACCAAATGGGGAAGAATTAGGAAATAATCATGTTGTCTAATGGTACTCTGGATTCAGGGCAGCAACTGCCATTTAAATGTTGTCTTGTTTATTTCTAAATCTGTTAATGAAGTTTAGGTTTTCCCTGAAACTAAGTTGAATTATTTTCCAAAACGAAATAGGCTTCTCAGGGACATATCCACTTCTTCCCAGTCTGCCTTTGGATTAAAGCACCAAGCAGAGACCACATTATTTCCCTTCGCTATACTGTGATCCTTAGTATGTTCAATTCTTAAGAAACCAAAATATCACTGAAAGAAGGCTGGCAGAACACAGGTGAATTTTTTCACTATGGGAAGAAAGATCAAGTGACATATTGTTATTTTTTCCTGGTTGTCACTTAATGGGCTGAGTAAAAAGCTTGAAAACTCAGACTTTTGGTCTTGGTTCTGCCACTCATTGGTTATGAGGAGGCCCAGAGCAGGTAAGTTCACCTTCCTGGCCTTACTTTCCTGATGTGTAATACAGAATTACTTCACGGTAGCATGACAGTGTAAGACACCAGCAGTAGATACAACTATGATGACATTCCATGAGTTGGTATTTTTAGTTCTAACTACTAAATTTGTTCTCTTTACGGGACAGATTTCTAATAAAGTGCTTGGTCTTGAAATACATGGTTGGACAGAGGTGCCCTATCCCTTAACTATGAGCAGGTGCTACCTTTTGGGATATTTATTTGAAATTTTAATACTTTGGTACTCAATTGTCAATGTTCCATGGTGTGTATTTTTATTTTGGGGATTAGTGGGGGCCTAAAGGGAGAGGAATAGTCTCTTAATTACTACCTCTTAACCTAAAGCAATTATTTTGTTCCTGGAGCAAGTTAAATCTTTGTTGGAAGGAGCTTTGGCCATATATTTTTTAGCATGCATTGTTTTTGTGCCCTGAAAGTACTGGTTTTAAGAACAGACTCAGGAAAATGGGCCAGTATAACAGGCCATCTCCAGGAAATTAGCTCTATTTGGGTCCTGACCTTCCCTTCCTGCCAAGCTAGCAGGCTTGCTCTTTCCCAAGGAATACACATCTTGCCTTTTTTTTTTTTTTGCCATGTTTACCTTTTCTTGGTCGTGTATAAGCAATAAAGCTGTTTTCTGTTCTTCACCTTTCTTAACCCCAAATTTTCTTCTATGCCTTAGGCTTTGATGGTTCTTCCAACCCCCTTAATATGGCTTAGGGTGGTTTTGTAAAAACCTACAATCCCCCATTTGCACTACTGGCCATGGAACATTTATTTCTAGTGTTCCTGCCAATCAGAGATCTCTATATTAAATTCTAAAATGGGATTAAAAGAAGAGTTGGAGAATTCACACTTATTGAGTAACTGACATGATAACAACCTGGAATTTCTGAATTCCAAATAAATAAATTTCACTCTTTGAACATTTCATCTTTTACTTTTTAGCACCAACAGACTTGATAACAGCCTGATGCTGATCTGACAATGGGTTGACAGCCTTCCCCCACAGGCCCTTAAGTCTGCTTAATAACAAGTCCTTTGCTTCTGTCATTCTCCTGGGGGATGGCCTACTGCCCTCCTTTCTGTACAATCTGGGCAAACCGACTGGTGATGGCAAGAGTGGTGTCAATGAAGCGGTCTACACAGCTGGAGAGACAATTTTCAGTGCGAGAGTCTAGGCGATTCCCTGGCTTCTCCACACATTTATCCCAACATAACTCCATGAAGTGATGCACCTAAAAGGAAAGAAAAATAGTAACCATTTGGGTTTGCAGATAGGCCTAACTCTTGTTTATTAACTTCTCACTTTTTGACACCTGACAAAACCATTCTTTAAATCAACCACGGAGTCACTTTGGGCTCTTCTCTTTCTTCATTTCCTAATTAGTCACCAATATTGATCCAGATCCTCGTCCCTACAGATTGTACATTCTCAGGTAGGACTAATAACCTTTTATATTCCCCAAAGTAGCTAGCACCAGTGTGAACAAACTAGGGAACCAATTAATTTCCCCAAACTATTGCACTCATTCCAAACCTATCCCCTAGACAAGGTAATTCTTCCATTAACCTTTTGGGGGTTATGGATCCACTCCCCAGAAGAATGCACATACAGGCACAAAAATTATGTGCACTTTCATTTGCATGTTCAGGGCCCAAAGATTTCTAGCCAGGGTTCCTGCTGGTCATCCTCCAAGCACCCTCTTCCTCCCACCCAAAAGGAAAAAAAATAACCCAAGAGCTTACTATTTGTGAGGCTGGTTACTAAGAAATCAGTTCTCTCTAAGGTCCTCAAGGATAGCTGTCATCACCTCCCATTTAAGAGGCGTGATTACGTAGTCCAAGGTCAGGTAGCCAGCAAGAAGTCAGGCCGGGTTAGAACCATGTCCGAAGGGCTCCAAACCCTTGTTCTAAATCCATACTCTACAGCGACTACTTCAGAGTCCACCTTCCTCCAATAATGTTCTAGTCGTTTTCAAATACATTGTCGCATACGGTCCTCACAATTCAGTGAGGCAGTGGGGTGACGGCGAAACCAAAACCCACAGTGGATTAGTATCTTTTCTACGGGCACGTGGCCTGCAAGGAGCAGAGGGAGGATGAGAACCAGATCTTTTGAATGCCAGTCCAGTCATATCGCCGGCTAACTAGGCTTCCGTACCTTTGCGTCGCCCAAATCTTCTTCCCTGCTTTACACCTTTTCTTTTCTCCACGCTACGCTTACGTAGCCGGGACCTGAGCACTACCAGTCACCAGGGACAGGAGAGCCATGACTTGTCTTTTGTGAGGGGAATGGGATGCTGCCGGGATCGAGCACCAGCGAGCCGCCAGTGTACAGACCTGCGAGCGTGCCCAGGACCAGCAAGGAAGGTGAAACTTCCTTTCCCTTCACCCTCCCCGCCCCCGCACCTGTGCAGTAAACTGCGCCTTCTGCTGTTCGGCGGCCACGAGGCGCTGCAACTCAGCTTCACCAGCTTCACCTAGCTCCGCCATTGTTCGCCTCAGGCTCGCCACTTTCCGACAACCGTGTTTGCGCAAGCGCGACGGGTGTGCCCCGCCTATCGACTTCCGGTTCTCCCAGCATTTTCCTCCTCCCTGTTTTCTTTCGTCATCGTGGGTAGGAATTGTCGCCTAAGTGCTTCCGGGTTGGTGGATGACCTTGAGCCCTCAGGAACGAGATGGCGGTTGTCTGGAGGCTGAGTGCCCTTTGCGGTGCCCAAGGAGGCCGAGGTGAGGGGTCTTCGCACCCTGAGGTGCTTAGCACAACCTCCAGCCAGGGAACGGGATGGAAGTGAGGACTCATCTGCCGGGTGGGAGGTCTCTTGAGGAGAAGAAAATCCCGAAATCACGGCAATGACCACTGTAGTCTAGGGGTCCAGATGTTTACCCAAACGTGTATTTCACTTGCTGTGAGCTGAGTTGACGGAAGAATCAGGAAGAGCGCTCGCTCTGGAAGTTGCAGTCCTGATGAGGCTAATCCACATAGGAGTTCTGTTTTCTCCCCGTTCACTGTCCCTAGAATGCTCCCCACTGGCTCCCACCCTGAATTGGGAAAGAGGGTTAGGCGCTTGCCCGTTTCTTCTGGAGTTGGTGTGTTTGGGTGTGGGAGTGGACGGGGGGATCAGTTCGAAAATCATTTAACCTGGGTATTTGTTCTACCACAGGCACTGTAGTAATGCTAGGATACAAATGTAAAGGAAAACGTAGTTCCCGCCGTCAAAGAGCTTTCATTCTGATGAGGAAAACACTGTCGTAGTAGTTCAGGCAAGATGAGGTCCTGAACTAGGAAAGTAGCACAAAGAAAAGAAGATTGTTTCAAGAAATGTTAAAGAGATATGCCAATAGGATTTGGCGATTGAATTTAGGGGAAAAGTCTCTCATGACTTCCAGATTACTGAGTTAGGTTAAAGAATGCCTGAGGTGTCATTAAATAAAGTAGGATGTTCCCTAGTCTTAACTTCAGAGTAACCCCAGTGAAATAGATGCTATCATCATTTTACAGATGAGATGTTATTCCCTATTTAGGGTTAAGTAGCTTACCTATGGTCATTTAGAAAGTTTTCAGTCCTGTTAAAGGAGGCATTCTTATGATCATCCTAATGACTCTTTCCTCAGCTCTGTTGCTGCGAACCCCAGTGGTCAGACCTGCTCATATCTCAGCATTTCTTCAGGACCGACCTATCCCAGAATGGTGTGGAGTGCAGCACATTCACTTGTCACCCAGGCACCATTGTATGTTCTCTCCATTGCTGCTGCTTTCTGGGCTCTAGCCATCTTTACCTTCACTAATTGTCATGCTTTGAGCAGGACTTCCTACCTGTAGGGGGGACTCTTGTGTCCAACTGTGTCAAATGAAGACCTAATTTACACCTTTGGGCAGATTAGTACCATTACGGTTGAATGATGCCATTTATAATCATAGAAGACCTTCTAGCCTAAGTCTTTAAAATTTTTTTCTTTTTTTTTGAGATGGAGTCTCGCTGTGTTGTGCAGGCTGGAGTGCAGTGGCATGATCTTGGCTCACTGCAACCTCCACCTTCTGAGTTCAAGCAATTCTTCTGCCGCTGCCTCCCGAGTAGCTGGGATTACAGGTGCTCACCACCATGCCCAGCTAAGTTTTGTACTTTTAGTAGAGATGGGTGTCACCATGTTGGCCGGGCTGGTCTCAAACTCCTGACTTCCTCAAACTCCTGACCTCAGGTGATCTGCCCACCTCGGCCTCCCAAAGTGCTGGGATTGCAGTTGTGAGCCACCCACTCCCAGCCCACTAACTTACATTCATAAGGTGATTTGTTTACTTCACTGAACCAAGACTGCCTTAGTTCTGTAGCAATAGAGCAATTCTGTATTTTATCCATCTTCTTGGATCTGACTTCTAATCAGTATGTAGTCATTGTGATACCCTTTTGCTAAAATACTTCAAAAAACAGAGATAAAGACTTCAAAAAACAAAGATAGCTTCTCTCTTAACTACTATTTTAATATTTTACTTCCTTTGTACTCAGAGTTATATCCTATATGTATACTGTCTGTCAGTTTGGGTTACTGTGTGGCATATGTTGAACATGAAAGATGTGTTTCTCACATTGACTTTTATGAATCTGGTCCTTTCTGTAGCGGGTTCCAAGGCTGCATCTCTCCACTGGACTAGCGAGAGGGTTGTCAGTGTTTTGCTCCTGGGTCTGCTTCCGGCTGCTTATTTGAATCCTTGCTCTGCGATGGACTATTCCCTGGCTGCAGCCCTCACTCTTCATGGTCACTGGCAAGTATAGCAATTCCAAGTATAGTTGTCTGCTCAGTTTGTTTGCTGTGAGCTTGTCTTATGTATTATATATGAGAGAGAAGTTAATTGAAATGCTCTAAATTTGTTGAAAACTTTAAAATATATATAAAATATGTATATGCCTAGATTTATATATTCACCTGCCTATTCAATGTCTTTCAATTCGATTTCCATATCTAATAACATTTTGAATGTAGCTTGTCAAACTGAGTTTCTGATCTCCCCTAATCTGTTCCTCCTGCACTCTTGCCCATCTGAATTAATGGCATTTCCAGTTTTCTGTTTGTTCAAGTCTAAACCTGGTAAACTCCAAACTTGGTCATTATCCTTGACTCTAGTAGTAGTCTCCTGACTGGTCCCCATTTGTGTCCATTCCCAACACAGCAGACCCAGTGATCCTGTTAAAATGTTAAGTTAGAATAAGACATTCCTCTTCTCAAAACCCTATTTTTTCTCTTCATGTTACTCAAAGTCAGAATTCTTAGAGTTGTCTGCGGTCTCTACATGATTGAACCCCCCTGTTTCTTCCCTCATTTTTAGCTGCACTCTCTCTTTCATTCACACGGGCTTCCTTGAGATTCCTTGAACATGCCAGGGACATTCCAGGTCTCAGGGCTTCTCTTACTGCTTCTGCCTGAAACTCTTTTTCTAGCTATACACTTGGCTTGTTCCTTCATCTCCTTCAGGTCTTGAATGTCATTCTCTCAACAAAGCCTTCCCTAACCACTTATTCAAAATTGCAGTTTCTGTCCTACCATTCCTTATCTCTCTTGCTTTATTTTTCTCAATAGCACTTACTACCTTCTAATATACTACATCATCTGTTTATTATTTTGTATAGTAATTTCTTCTTTGCATTTTGTTTTATCACCCAAATGTATGTCCCTAAATAGTATAGTTTATTCTTGCCTCTTAAAAAAAAAAGATATATGTGGGTGGGTTATTTTGTTGTTTTTACTGTGTTTGTTTGCTCTTGTGCCTCTAGAACATAGAACTACTATCTGGTACCTGACATATAGCACTCAGTAAATACTTGCTGAATGAATGAGTATACAGCATCTGTTTGTTTGTTTATTTATTTATTTTTGAGACAAAGTCTCGCTCTGTCACCCAGGCTGGAGTGCAATGGCATGATCTTGGCTCACCACAACCTCCGCCTCCCAGGTTCAAGCAGTTCTCCCTGCCTCAGCCTCCTGAGTAGCTGGGATTACAGGCGCGTGCCACCAGACCCGGCTAATTTTTTTGTATTTTTAGTAGAGACTGGGTTTTGCCATGTTGGCCAGGCTGGTCTGGAATGCCTGACCTCAGGTGATCCGCCTGCCTCGTCCTCCCAAAGTGCTTGGATTACAGGCATGAGCCACCCAGCCCAGCCTATTTATTTATTTATTTATTTTTTGAGACAGATTCTCCCTTTGTCATCCAGGCTGCAGTGCAGTGGCATGATCTTGGCTCACTGCAACCTCTTCCTCCTGGTTCAAGTGATTCTCCTGCCACAGCCTCCTGAATAGCTGGGATTACAGGCACACACTACCACGCCCAGCTAATTTTTGTATTTTTAGTAGAGATGGGGTTTTGCCATGTTGGCCAGGCTCGTCTCGAATTCCTGACCTCAAGTAATCCACCTGCTTCAGCCTCCTAAAGTGTTGGGATTACAGGCGTGAGCCACCACGTCTGGCCCAGCTTTTGTTTATTTTATCTGGTATAGTTTGTATGAATTTCTGTGTTATTGAACCTTCTAAAATGAGGGTAAACAACTCAAGGTTGGGTTCCTCGAGTTGTTCTTTTTAAGTTTTGCAGGAACAATATGTTGTCATTGTGGGGAATATGGAGGCACTTTCAGATTGTTGAAACTGGAAGTACTTTGGAGAGTATCTTAACCAACTCTTTTATTTTACAAATGTGGCAGCTAAGACTCAGGGAGGTTAAGTGACTTGTCAGAATCATTTTCTTTTTTTTTTTTTGAGACAGAGTCTCGCTCTATCACCCAGGCTGGAGTGCAGTGGCCGGATCTCAGCTCACTGCAAGCTCCGCCTCCCGGGTTTACTCTATTCTCCTGCCTCAGCCTCCCAAGTAGCTGGGACTACAGGCACCCGCCACCTCGCCTAGCTAGTTTTTTGTATTTTTTTAGTAGAGACAGGGTTTCACCGTGTTAGCCAGGATGGTCTCGATCTCCTGACCTTGTGATCCGCCCATCTCGGCCTCCCAAAGTGCTGGGATTACAGGCTTGAGCACTGCGCCTGGCCTAGAATCATTTTCTAGCTAGTGTTAAAGGTTTTTTTTTTTTTTTTTTGAGACAGAGTCTCACTCTCACCCAGGCTGGAGTGCAGTGGTATGATCTTGGCTCACTGCAACCTCTGCCTCCTGGGTTCAAGCAATTCTCATGCTTCAGCCTCCCAAGTAGCTGGGATTACAGGCACGTACCAACACACCTAGCTCGGTTTTGTATTTTTAGTCGAGACAGTTTCACCATGTTGGCCAGACTGGTCTTGGACTCCTGACCTCAAGTGATCCTCCCACCTTGACTTCCCAAAGTGCTGGGATTATAGGTATGAACTGCCGTGCCCAGCCTAAAGGGGTTTTAATTATCTAGTTTTGTAGGACTGGTTAGGAGAATGAGTTGTTGTTGTTGATGATGTTTTTTAACCACATAGACATTTCCAAATAAAAGATTCCAGTTGCATATGAAATATTAGATCACAAGTATAGTAAGCAATATTTCTCTAACATGTGATCCATCTTGAAGGAGCTGTCTATAATTGTGCTCCACTTCCTCAACACTG